AAAAAAAAAAGCTTCATAGTAAACCACTGGTGTGTATTAAAGTGGCTGCCTATATAAAGTGTAAAGACCACCATTCATAAAATTGGGTTAGTGGCATGGGTCACCTGATTTTACCACTGTTACAACCATAATGGGTAGTTCCATTGCATGAAGTTTCACGGACTATCTGTACATTGCCGGAAATGGAGCATAGACATTGAACTCTTTTAGTTAAATCTAGAGTCCAGCTTTTGGAAATATCTGGAACAGATTAAAAACCAAACAGGTTTGCACTACTACACAACTTTATCGGATAGCAACAATTACATACATAGATTTATGTCTGAATCCTATTAGCATTAATGCATTGAAGTGGTCTTAGTATTATGGGGGAGGAAAGGGAAGGGGAAAAACACTTATTAAGCAGCAGTCAACAGTGCTAACCATGATGGCCTTGAAAATACCTTTCTGGATTCTCTGAGTTCCTGTGATATGACTGGATGGGAATGAGAAGAATGGTAATTTTCTTTCTATTGTAATGGCTATTTCCAAAAAGTGATACTTCTGGGTTTTTTTTTGTTTGTTTTACATTTGTTGATTTTGTTAACCATCTTGTTTTAACTTCTCTTGAAATCCCTGCACATGGACTTCTGTAGGATATGCTGGGTTTTTCTTTTTTCCAAAAGGATAGGCTTCACTCTGATCATGTCACACACTTGCACAAAATGCTGAGACTTGCATTGTATGCAATGAAGCTGTCATAACTTGTTTCCCAATCCCTCATTCCCACTATTGGATACTTCTGTTATTATATTAGGACAACACAGGATTTGGACATATTCTTGAGAGATCTCCCCTTTTTCACTTCATGCTAGCTAGCTGATGGACAACAAACACACAAGCTTAGAAATGAATGGGGAAGTTCTAATATAAGCTCTGCCTCTATAGACCTCACTTAACAATCATTCAAAGTTTACAACTGACTCCCCCAAAAGTTACTTAATCTGTCCCTGAAGTTATGACTGCCCTATCCTCTCCCTATGTCACATTTTGGAGCTCGGCAACAGGCTCAAATGTATGACTGGTTGCAGCCTCCCAAAGTCACGATGGTTTGCAACATTTTTTGCTGATTCATAGAATTCTTGTCAGTTTCTTCAAAAACTACCCATTCGGGAGAATCGATTTGCTTAATGACCAAAGTGGTTTGCTTAGCAACCATGTAACTCATTTCTGATCATCATAAAAATGGTCATAAAATCAAGTTAGGTCATGTGGTGGCCCACTTAATGACTGCAATGACTTATTACCAAAATTGCAGGCTCAGTTATGGTTGCTAAGTTAGGTGTGAGTCTGGTTTCCATTATGTCTTAATAGGTGGGGAGCTTTTACTTACTATTGTACTGATGAATTTACTTTTAATTTGGTTTCCACTTTACGCTCTTCTCTCTCTCCTTCTCCCTCTCCTCCCTCTCTCCCTCCCTCTCTCTGTTTGTGTGTCTGTCTGTTTCTCTTTCTATGTGTGAATCTTACTGAATTATTCTGACAGTTTCAAAATAATCTTATAAGCCATCCTGGAACTGAAAGGCATGGAACCCCTTTTTCAGTAACCAGGGAATTGTGTTGTGGTGATGGTACCAGCAAAGATACAGTTAAAAGTAAATTAGAAAAAAAAATCATAGGCTTTAAGTTTATCATGGTAGCTAAATGATCTCCACTGTCACATTTGGATATCATTCACTGAGGAATAAACACTAGAATTATTTTCTTAATGCCACGTTTGTGGCCTTTCTGAGGACATTTTGTTGGATCATGCTCAGGCAAAATTCAAACAGACAGAACCCTTTATTTGATTCAACAGTGATTAAAAATGGAATGTAGACTTATCTTATATGTTAAAAATGATATTAGGCTACCTTCTAAAAGCCAAATCATCACTGACTGAATTTGACCCACGTGCCAATGTAGGTCAGTGAGGCCCAATTTTAGAAAATCAGATCTGTTTTAAGGAACTTTGTATTTATTGATGGGAACTTATTTCCCATCAATTTTAATTTTGTAGTAGCTTACTTTAATGGCTGGGCTTTATATGACCTGACTATTTGGCTAACATCTTGTTTTCTATATTTTGTAGCAGGTGATCCCTATTCTTAGATTATTATTATTTTGCCCCTTGGCCATTTTCCAGGAATGTTTGAATATGAGCTTCTCTCCAATGTAAATTAACAGCGCTGAAAAATATCCAGCCGCTTCCTTATTTTGAGGACAATCAGAACTAAGTTGGTGCCACGGAAAAGATTGTTTCCTCAAACATCTGTTTCAGGGATCAGTTATACACTGTTGAACTTTAACTGACACTATCATCTCATTGTGGAAAAAAAAAGTTATGAACAATTTGGATACTAGGAATGGCAACTACCGATTGCCATGTGTTTACTGAGCAGGTTGTAAAGTCATTAAGATTTCACAAACATCAGAAAACAGCAGTATCAGAGACCAGGAGAGAGAAGGGGGAGGGAAGGAGGGGGAGAAAAGAGAAAGAGTGGAGAATGGAGAGTGGAGAGAGAGAGAGAGAGAGAGGGAGAGAGAGAGAATGAGAATGAATCAATGTATCAGCTACTAATAAATGGCACAACATTCAGTAACTAGATAAAATAGTTTAATAGTGGGAGTAGATATAAGACAATATGGACTGACGTAAAGAAGTAGAGGAATACAGTTCTTTTAGAAAAAGCAATATTGCATTCTGCTGTTACACAAGGGAAAGTAGCGTGTACATAAGATAGAAGATTAGGAGACGGTTGTAGAAAGCCTGGCTAAGAAGCTACTTGGCTAAAATCAGGACCTTACAGACAAAGGTATCATTCAGAAGATAAATCTCCTTCACCTAGGTAACAATACTTGTTTCACAGAATGACTTACTTTTGCTGGGAATTATGGGAGGCACTTATCCTCAAGTATATTTACAACAACACATGTCCGGAAACAAAAGGAATTATAAGTTAGCTCAATAAATGAGTAACATCTTATGAAAATGGTGCAGAGTAGCAGCACGAAGGAATACATGAAGCTACAATGAAAGCAAAGTAATTTAAAATATGAAAATATACTGCCCATAATCCTTTATTGCAGATGACACTTATTTTGGAAACAGCCCTTTTATTTTAATGAATTTCGAATGCCACAAATCGTTTAATAGGCTGGTTCTATAAAATCACAAATGGAGAAATGAGGCTCCCACTGCACTTTTCTTTTCTTTGTTTCTTTCACACATTCAAGAAATATAAGTGACAGTTTTAATCCGATCTGAATTAATCTGATAAATACTCCTCCTTTTTTAAAAGGAAAAAGAAAGAATAAAAGAAACCCTGCAGAAATGACAATCAGCTACCGTCCAAACCAGCCCCAAAACCACAACCAATAAAAAAACAGCTCCCCCCTCCCCTAAATTACAGCTGATTCTACCTGCAGAAAGGAAGCATGTCACCAAACTTCTCCTCCTTTCTTTTGATCCTTAGAAACCAGATACAACAGAGCAAACCTTACACAGGAATTGAAAGCTTTACACTAAAGCCACACAGCATTACATTGTTCGCTGCCAAAGCTATCTGCTCCAAGCATTTCAACGGGCACATTCCAAAGCTTTCCATTGCTCTGAAAAAGCTGTAAGTTTCTTTTCCTGGGCAATTCCTTCCAGAAAACAGGGATGAATTATATTTGAGAACACATGCAAGCCCCTAGTTCTTGACCAAAGCAGTCTCATGTCTCATTTTGCAAATCTCTTGCTACTAATCTGGATAGAATGGATAGAATATCTGAGTAGGCTGGAGAATCAAAACTTGCAAAAAATGAACAGATGCACAAAGGCACTGGAATGCCAGCTCTGAGGAAACATTAATACTAAGTATGTGTACTTTTCAAGACGAGGTTCTATTTAATGACTTGGACTGTTTATATTTTGCTATGCTTAATTAAGCAAAGTAGCTGAACTCACCTACCCCAATCCATTTCAAAAATCCTCACACAGTTTCTCTCTGCTGCTAAGAAAGTAATGGTCACGATAAATTAGGGAAGAGAGAAAAAAAAAGCTACGTGGCTCTTCTCTCTTTAAAATACGTAAAGTTTGAAAGGGGTAAAAAGGGGTAATTTTTTCCAAAGTAAGCAACTGTTTCTTTGGGGCCGGAAAGAAGTAATCAAATAATACAAACAATAACTGTCCCTAAAAAAAAAACAACTACGGAAGGGAGAGAGAAGGAAGGAAGGAGAATAAAGCATTCTGAGGAAGTAGTAAAACTGGATTGCAGGACATACCGTATATATATTTTATCTTGCAAGAAGCTTAATATTTAGCTACTGATAGAAATTTTAGATGAAGGTACTCACTGTCTCTGAAAATTTAAAAGTATGCAAATGCAAACTATATAGTGGCACAAACACACAGGAGCTATACTTTTGTATTACATTGGCATTTTATTATTTAATTAAAATACTCTTATTTTTCTAGCTCACACGTTTCCCTTGAGACAATTTTTCTGTTAGCCTGCTGGCCTTGACTTCCAGCCAAAAACAATTCAGAAACAAAAAGAGACAACAAATCATATTTTCACAGACATTTTTATCTCTCAATAGAACCCTGTTTTCACACAACATCCTACAGACTCTATGGAAATTATAATTTATTGTTATAGCCATCCAAAAGCAGTATGGCTTAAAAATCTCCACTGCTGCCTTCTACAAACCCTGACGATGTCTAAAGTTGGACTATTCATTGTCCAGGAATTGTCATTGGGCAACAACAGTGTAATCTTTTGAATGAGACTGATAAACAGTTCACCAAGAGTACACCAGAATATCAACCTAGAAATCAACAGAAATCCAGAAAGTAAGAGTAAAACAATTTAATGTTTCAAACACTATTGAATTATCCTTGAAGATTCTTTGAAAAGACACGATATATGTCAGAAAGATGGATACTACATAAAAATGGGATCACCTATTACTTCATATCATCAACTGATTCTTACCTGATGGCAACCTTGAAGATTTGAGTCTCGTCCATATGATGAATAAGAGCTTCTTTCTGTTTTACCTGTTTCAGAGGAGAGAGAGAAGTATTATCTGATAAGACAGTTTCCTTAATCTATTTTATAAAAAGCCTCTCATCTTTAAGCCATTTTAATAGTAATTACATATCTACCGTCTTTGGTCTTGGTAAATATATTTTGAATCCACATCACCACAGAATGGCACATGTTCCTCATCTCAATATCATAATTTTCTAACCACAGAAGACAATCAGAATTTCCTCAGATGATGAGCTTCTACCCTGTTTTGAAACTCAGGAACTTTATGCTTCTGCTCATGACATGCAATTGGTGAAATCCTCCCAATATTAAGGATGGTAACTAGGAGAAAAATTCATGGCTGCTTATACCTCAAAATGAAAATAAGGGGCAACCCACGATAGACCTCCATTTATTTTGCTTAGCCTGGCCTTCTAGTCCTTTTGTGAACTCCAATGGCGTACTGTTCTTGACCATTATTCTTCGGTAGACCTGTGCCATAGAACTTCTAATGGGCTTTGCTTTAAAATATCTTCACTGCTTGCTATGATTACATTTCTAATTGGAAACGCCATTCAAATCTCCAGAATAATATATGTGAGGCAATCATTTTTAAAGGAGGAAACAAATCTCTCTTTTCCTTTTCTTTCTTACCCCCAAAAACTGTGTGAATTTATTTTTATGAGCACAGCAGTAAGGTTATCCATGTCGTGACCTGACCATAATAATTCTCACTGATTACACTTGCAGTCACCGGTGGGGTCAGAGGTAATAAATCAAAAACTCCAGATGGTAAATTTAGCAAAGAAACCCCTCACAGGTCTGATTTTTCACTCTTTCCTAGTTGAATTCCCTATTGAATGACTTGATCTCTGCAGCTACGCTCCAGAAAGAGTATTTTATATTAAAATATATCACTCTCTAACAATGTTTCAACTTTCTCAGAATTGTAGGAGACACAAATAGGCTATGATATTTCATGCCAATTCTGATATTTTTCTTTGATTTTCCTGCATGATCTTAACGTTTTCTTTAAAATGTCAACAGCACATGATTTAGTTGGATACGGACATTGTGAATCAGATGAAAATGAAATAATTGTTATTGGATGTCCAAAACAATGTATTCCCCCTCCATAACTTTTGGTGGACAACAGTAATGACCCTTGGGTGCCCAGATCTAATATAATGCAAAGTTCTGGTTGTTTCTGCAATCAAGCATATAATAAATTGCAATAACTAGCTACATATAGTACAGTACATTACCCCTGTAAATGAATCATTTAATTACTATCACATACTTTGCAAAACCATCTTTACTTTAAAGGATATTATTTTATTACAGAATATTATACTCAGTCTGGCTATTATTGAAATACAAGGTGTAAGAAAAAAGACCAACATTTTAATTTAATACAGAACAATAGTTTAATAAACTAAACTGTTTTCTTAAAGTGTCGAATTAATTTTTTTGAAAAAAATATTTAATTAAACGCACATAAGATTTTATTTAAGGTTTTACCCAATGAAGTTGGGATTCAATTAAAATAATGACTATGAAGTAAATTCATTCTATAAGGTTCTGTATTGTGTAAATATGATTTCAAATTGGCATCTATAGATCTACAATATTATATGAAATTCTACTTTCTTTCAGTTTTACTCTGTTAAAAAGATGGGAGTAAATCGCCTATATACATTCCCCTGAAAATCTACATCAATAACATTAATATAAAATTATAACTCTACTTTTATTTGACTAGTCATTTTGAATTTAGCTAAAAAAAAGGTAATTCCACATGCTTTTAAAGTTGTCTTGTCATAACAGAACACCAAACAAAATACTACAAGTTGAATTTATCTACATGCCCAAGGATATAAAATGTGACCCATTTTTTTGTGATTTCATAAAAAGGATCTTTTCCTAACCGTGATGAAAACTACAGATAGGAAAGTAGAAATACTGAATTCACTTGAGATTTTGTGCATTATGAGTTAATGTGACGGGGGGGAAGATGTCTATAAACAACTGATGAAACAGGAAACAAGAAAAAAATATCCTAAACAGGAAAGGAATAGTACAGGTTTTACTTCAACTTACACCTACAAGGTGAGTTTCCTCAAACTCAACCAGGCAAAAATACATTTTAATGAGGAGATGGGTGAATAAAGCTAACAAACTCAACCTACTGAATAAAGAACCAGGCAAATGAATTTCATTTACTATGTGAGTACCTGTCCTCCTCCTCCTCCTCCTTACTATCGTATCAGATACAAACTGTCTCATTTTAATTTCAGTGGTTAAAAAATATTTATCTAGATGCAAAAATAAAACACACTGCAAATTACAAGTTGTCAGGGTTAAAAATCTACTTCTATTTCTGTGGGGGAGGATAAGAGAACAGCACAGACATGAATCATTCTCAGTAATTTGAATGTTTCCATGACATCAATGGGCACTCGTCCAGGACTCTGTCGAAGCTTGTGAGGTACCAAAGAGACACAGAAAGCAGCAGGAGATTGACTTCTTCTTTTTTTTTTAAGGATTATGCTCCTTGTAAAGATTTCATCTGTAGCATCCATTTTTACTACCAGACAGATAGCTTTGGAGATCAGGAATGAGCATATTTCATCCCGAGAGTATAGCCTTTAACTTTATTTTTGTACCCCAATCCAACCAGGAACTTGTCTTTCCTTCCAGTTAAGAACAGAATAATCAAATTTACATGAAACTCTTTAGGGACGTGGAAGGATGTGTGTGTATAGCATTCGTATAGATGCACTATCAATTGTCATTGTGAAATAAGCTGACTTTTTTGGGGGTAGATGTCATTTAATTCATGGAGGGGAAAAAATCATTTCAAAATCAGCTACTTTCTTTATGTTGATTTTCTGCTTAGAACTCACTAGCATATTTGTTTCACATAATAAAATTTGGCGGGGGCTCTCTAAATAACTGTCTGTGTGCATAAATTTAACACACAAAAAAAACCCGAGCTCGCTTGGAATATTTATACTTACTTTGCTGTGTCCATCGTTCTCAGGTATTACAAGAAGGCAGCAATTCTAAACGTGCATTTGTGGGCTAGGATGCTATAAATTGTGATTTCTTAAAGGGATTGTGCATGAGGGTTCGGTTTTGAAAGAATCGACAACAATGTAGAAACTCGACACATTCACTGCGGAATTTTCGAGACAACCTTCTAGTACCAGAATGCGGCAGCCGCTGCGGATATTTGTTGGCACAAAGACAACAGTTCCAGTGCCAAGCCCCATGGCTACGACTACTCGAAAGAGGCATAAGGGTAGCATTAATCGCTCAAGTCTTTTACTGCGTGGAGTATTGCTGTCCATAGTTTTTTTTTTTTTTTAAGCAAACCTTAAACGTACCAGTTAATAATTTGCATACTAACCAAAAAAAGGGTACTGTTCTATATCTGGTTAGATTTCCCATTACTAGGACCAATATTACACTGACTGTTAAATACCCAAAAAACCCAACAACTATGTTGTGATAGTCGAAATAAAACTTACAAGAGAAAATGACCCAAACAATGACTTACTATTATACAAGTGGGAACCCTGAGAGTGATTCAAAGGAAATGCATTATTAATTATACTAATACCTTTTTAAATAAATAAACAGACAGAATACACACCAGCCAAAATACATACAAAGAAAAACAGAATGAACTGCCAAAGCTTTTCTCTAAGGTATAATACACATACAGACACTCAATAAACACCCAAGAAATAAAACAAGAATCTCCTCTAAACTCAGTTGCTTACTATGCAGTTCCAAGCATCTGAGATTAACTGTAATCAAAATGAGGAAAAGAAATAAATAAAAAAACAACCAGCACAAAAGCATTGTAGCATTTCCAGTCAGTCCATAAAGAAGCCGGTTCTTCTTAGTAACATCCTCTGAAAAATTAACTGAATTAACCCCAAAATTCAACTCCTCTAACTCTCACATAACTTTTTTTTCCTCCTTTTGTTCTGAAAGAAAGGTCAGCTTGTCTTTGCTCTACCAATAGATATCTTGCTTCTACATTTGTAATACTCTTATATTTTAAACTTTTGTGACAGTTGGATTCAAGAGGCATAGTGACATATCTTCAAATATAGATTGACTTCAGATGGTTGAGGAACATTTATATTCACATTCTTGGTTTCACAGCCACACTTCTGTCTGGCCTAAATTGCTTATTTCATTGCTGGGGATTATTCATGCTGTAATTTTGAATTGCTAGGCATTGGGGACGGGGGGAGCAAAGAAAAGGGGCGTTGGTACTTACCTGACACGCCCTTTCTCTGTGAGCTGTGAAGAGCATCCATTGTTTGGGATGATGCTTCTGTCGCTCGTTTGATAGGCTGGGCTTTAATTGAGAGGACGCTCCTCCTCCTCCACGGGACTCCTCCCTAGCACCCCCAGTTTTGGCGAAGTCGAAGTGATGAAATATTTCTTCTCCTTCACCCTTTCTAATACTTGGCCGGAATAGCATCCCACCAGACGAATAAGGGTGGGGATGGATGCTCTTCACAGCTCACAGAGAAAGGGCATGTCAGGTAAGTACCAACGCCTCTTCTCCAGATGAGCTGTTCAGAGCATCCATTGTTTGGGACATACCAAAGCTTGGCGTGTCCTACGGGAGGGCTTCCACCTGGTTCGGATTCCCCTTTTCTTGGTCCCTATGGACCCTTTGTAACACTTTCCTGTCAAAGGCAGCCTCTGTAGAGGCGAAGACATCATTCTAATAGTTTATAAATAAAAGGCAATGGTGAGGCCCATGTTGTCGCCTTGTAAATTTTTGCTATTGGCGCTTGTGGCCCACGTTGTCAACTTCGCAGCGCTCCAGGTCGAGTGAGCAGTGATGCCCCTGGGTACAGGAAGAGATTGTATCTCATAGGACTTGGGAATTGTGCTCTCAGCCACTTACTGGTCATTGAGGAAGGGGTCTTGCACCCAATGGTAGGTGGTTGAAAAGAAACGAAGAGAACCTTTGTTTCCTAACACACATGCAGTT